TTGTATTTTCGTGTTTTGTTGCTTCAGAATCATCTCGATACGTACAAACTCACCACAGCACAGCAAGAGAGCGACTAACGAAACAATGGCGACTATCGTTGAAGCAGTTAACTTATTCGACTTGGAAACTTTTCCATCCATTTTTAGTTTCCAAAGATACACTCGGTTATTTAGACTCTTCTAATTAAGAGTATTTCTTTGAGATATCAAATGAACAAGGACGAGCAGAACATACTACTTTAATAGACCAGGCATATTTTGATCAATTTACGTACAAAGGTCGTCTCTAATCAATTCTAATAGATCTAGAATTTCAAGACATGATAACGCATTTGGAAATATACCAAGAATCGGCACTTCTTTGATTGTATATATATATATATACACATCAAATCGAGCTGAAAACCCAATATATACTTGAAGTCTCATATGAGGTTTGGTAGCTCAGTGGTTAGAGCAATAGCGCCGGAATCGCCAGCGAATGGGTTCAAATCCCGTTCAAGATTATTCCCGAGTCTTTCAATTTGCAGCTGCATAAGTTGCTTGGCATACTGCGAGGATCAGCTCAATTTGATACATTACGACCGCAGTACAAATGTATATTTCATATATATTCTCATACATACCGGTATATATTTAGCAATTATTCGCCGAAGGCGAAGTGAATATCGGGGAATACTTACCGAGACGTGAGTCTTTGAGCGGCGAAGTAAATTTTCTCCATATTCACTGAGCCTGAGGCGAATAATTGTTTTAGCATATACCAACTTGTGTACAGAGTAACTTATTTTATATACAATAATTCAATAAAAACAAACAAACAAAAACTTTTAGTTTGCGTGACAAATTCACGCAAAACTTTTAGCAAAACTTTTAGGCCATACTTCGTTGCCTTTTTAGTATTGATAGGAATGGCATTTACTTTCATTTTTTCAAGCTCATCGGGAATTGTAGCAAAACGATTGCCGGAAGATGCCATTTTGTTGCCGACTCAATATTCCGAGATTCAGAGGCGAATATCGTACAATATTCACCTTCAATTAACTAATGAGCGCGCGCGTTCTTAGGAAGTACACAAGTTGGTATATGCTAATATTATTATATAGAACACAGGTAGCCCAATTTAAGGTTTTACTACTGATATCACTCTCGACCCCATAGTCTTGCAATAGAATTCTTACTTCGCATGCTACACGAAATACCATTATAATCTAGATTATTTGGAGGGTGCCATTAGATTTAGTAGTTAAATGACAAATAACCTAAAATCAGTAGTCAACTGACAATTAGATACCCACATTGGCACTCTCTATTTGGTATGCGCGCGTACTCTTCTGGAAGCTTTATGTGCGGTACTTTTGTGTATTTCATAGATAACAAACTCAAACTTTAATTCCTTTGTAAATTACTACTGTGTTCATGCAAATGACTACAGGCTCATTTGTTCAGCTTCATTTCACTGTCTTAGTATTCACGTACAAATACCAATAGTAAATTAAACAAACTGCGATGCCCCATTCTAAGGCTATTTATCGTAACGTAAAGTACATTGATGACATTTTTCATATTTTTCTGTAATTTGTTCTCGCACATTTATTACCACCATATTTTCGTGGGCTCTGATTGGCTGGTTAATTAAAGAAGACATTGTCTTATTTCTGATACAAACTACCGAATTCTGTCAGAGGTTTTACAATCACCAAGGATTAAACTCATCACTACTAGATGAGCTTGACGTTAGGTGCTTGTTCGGTGGGATGAGAGGGGCCTGACACATAAAATCGTGGTAACGGCAACCCTGTCACAACTCACCGTGCACCTGTCACACTGACGGTCTGGTCAGTTGAATACTTACCTATATATACCTAACATATAGGGAGGGAGGGCAGGAAAAAAAATATAGCGTTTAGCGTGTGGTTGCCAGAGGCTAGTGATAGTGAATATCGTAATGCAAACGACTGCTGGCCGAATTTAAGGTCAAGCTAGCGTGATCACATGGATAGCGTGTGATTGAATTGACCCATTAGAAATAAATATTCACTTTTTAGTATCCCACCCAAAAGATTGAATTCGAGTAAGCACGACAGTGACGAAGAAGATGAGTAACTGGTAACTTCTGGGTAACTGGTATTTACTTCCCGCCAGCAAAACACAGTGCACCAGAAGTGAAAGAAGTGATCGATTATCCTTCAAAAACTGTTAGAAAAGGCGTAAAAAGTCTGTACGAACCGTTAGCCAAAGCATTATCATAGTGGCCAACCTTCTAACATCGCGTCAGCGGTTATGAAATGTCGAGAACTTCGAACTCCTGTAATTCAAAAAGTCCTCGAGCTTGTCTCGAAAGAAATTACTGGGCTATGCTCAAGAACAACACTTCTCTGCTCAGAAAAACATCAAATAATCAAAACTTCAAATTTAAGTCACTATGCGAGGAACGCAAGGCAAGAGCGCCAATATATTATTTTGTTGACATCTTATCCAGTAGGCAGATTAACAAAGATTCTAGTAAAATCTTTCGTATGCGTCTTTCTGATGATCATTAAACTGTTTGATGCGAAATTTCTTAGCTGTTATCTCGAAGCCTTCCTGGAATAACGCAATCTTGTTTCCTGGTTTTCGAGAACTAAGCCGTGATTGGTTAATTCATAGGAAAGGAATGTTTTGTTTGGGTAAGGAGCCGTTACTAAGGGGAGAAAGCGTTGCGTGACAACACTGAAAGCGGCTGTGGAGGAGACTAATGACCATTACGATCGTTCTAAATTTATCACCAAGACGTAATCATCGATTTTATTTGAAAACTTATATAATGCATAATCAGCTTCAGTTCAATATACTCAGAAACCCGCTCCTATTGGACAGTGGCTCAGAGTTTGAAAGCTTAGCGGAAAGAATTTCAAAGATTCAGTCGACTTTACTTTCCCTAGGCATAGTGTGAAATATCATTTAAAATGTTGATGATGCGTCGAGCGTGCGACTTTGTGGTCTTAGCCGTAGTTTTAGCTGTGTCTTCAACCGAAGCAAAGATAATTGAATTTGACTCTTGTGGATCTATCATTAGACCGATAATAGGGAAAGTCCTACAGATTGACATAACTCCATGTGACTCTGAACCTTGTGTCTTCCGCGTAGGAGCCAATGTTACCGCCAAAATCACCTTCATTCCCGAAGAAACTGTCCAAGATGGTCTCATCGAATTGGTGGCTATATTTTCTAGAGGGGAGAGACTACCATGGCCTCTGAAAAATCCCTTTGCTTGTGAAGACCACAATCTTAACTGTCCTTTGAAACCGAAAGAGCCTGCCACAGCGATCATACAGACTCGTGTTATAGAAGATATACCCGGAAGCTACAAGCTTGTTGCTCAAGTTTACATGGCCGAAACAAAACTGGAAAACTATGTTTTCTGTTTCAGAATACCTGTACAAGTAACTTACTAGGATCAAAAAGGAACTCTCGCTATTTTTACCTGCTGATGTAACCTTACCAAAGTGGTCAGTACAAGTATGTTTTCTCGACGGAGATAAAATAAAAATAGTGTGTAGCGAAAACTTATCATGCTTATATGAGCTGAATAACAGATCTTTGTTGTATGTATTCATAACCCAATGCTATTCAAGACAAGCCACTGAAGTTTATATTAATAGACAATAAGGGTGGCAAAAGGTGGCTCCATGGGGTTTTATCCACGCGATAACATTCAACTTCAAATCGCAAATACGCGGACGCAGACAATCCAATACTAAAATGTTTTAAAGACGTTTTAAGGGAAAGATGAAGTTTTCGAATGAGCATGTTTTTAGTGAAATCGAAATTAATATAGTATCGCTGTAAAGCGTTGGTACTTTTACTTTATTGCCTATTTTCTCTATTTTTTGACCTAGCTTTTTAAATTGCTTTTGAGATATTGGAGGATAAGTAATTTGCTCAAGGTTCAGAAAATTTGAAGAAAATCTGTGAGAGCATTTTCGAGTGATTTCATATTGAAGTTTTGAAGTATAAAAAATTTGCAGAAACAAAACATGTTAGTAACCTTGTTGAAAAGTAGTTTGTTTCCTCAGTTTTGAGTTCCTAATTTTATCTAAAGAAGTTGGTAAATGTTAATTAACATTTTCGTGAATTCAAATCTACACGATGAACTGTTTTATGAACTGACTCAAGTTGTTTTTATAAGTAACAGTATTTTAAACTAATGTCAAAAAAGAACAAAGAAATACGATTTATTGCTCTCTATGTTCAATAAACAAATAATAATATCAAAACAAATGTCAGAACTGAACACCAAGAAAATATATTAAGGTTATGTCTGCTTCGAACAGGTTTCGTCGGATGCCGAGCCCAAACAACCCAAATTTCTCTGAATTCGAGAGTTGCGTATAAAGCGCTCATTGAATAACCCAAAGGTATTATGACTTTCAGATAAATCCGAACATCCGGTGCACATGAAAATGCGCTTTGCAAACTAATCCGAAAAATGTAGTTTGTAAAAAGCTCCTGTTCACTTAGTAGAACGTGTTTCCCTATTTACATTTTAGATTAAAATAATCATCACTCTTT